TCCCACTTGGCTGAGTTTCATTGTCCCTCAGGGAAAAAGATATTTATATGTCTATAAATATATATATATATATCTGTAAAGAGACGCAGGGGTGGAAAGCCATGAGGGTTGGGGGGGCATTCCTTCAGAAATGCCTGTCCACAGATGCTGCCAGCATCCTGCTCCAGCAGCCTTTTTCTGGGTCTCACTGACTTTCACCCTTGCCATAGTTACGTAGAGGCAAAGTTAATTCTGAGCTGCCTTGGAGTCCCAGATCTGAAGTCCAGGAGGGAGGAGAAGAATGGCCTGATGTTGGCCCTTCATTGCCAGGTCTCCAGTGACTGATGGCACTACAGCTAAAAGATACCGCGTGTCTTCGGGGAGATAGAGCTCCTTGACCATTGAGTAGCAGAGCCCTTGTGTGCCTGTAAGCCCAGAACTTGGGAGGTGCAGGCAGGAAGACCAGGAGTTCAAGATTATACTTGTTTATACGGGAAGCATGAAAACTGGCCTGGGCTACCCAGACCTCAAACAACATCAACAAACCAACACAACTTCCAGAGTGTATTTCTTCTATGGTCATCCTTTTTTTTTTCTCTGCACTCTGAACCTTTGGTCTATTGGAAAGGATCAAAATTATCTTTGCTCTTAGTTTTAAAGCCGGATGATCTTGATAGAACGGCACAGGGCACACCATTTACTACCCCGCAGCCACCTGCAGTTCCAGCTGGACACCTGACTCCTGACTGATCCACTTCAGACAGAGTAGATCCAAACAGCTATTTTTTAAAAACAAATTTGGCCAAGGGCAAAGGAATGGAGAGACAGCTGTCTCTTTGAGAGCTAGAAGTTATTGAGTCTGCCTCTATTGTTGCTGATGGGCCATCCGTACAGTATCCCCACCTATGAACGTATTTGTTCTTAGCTCTGGGTCTGGTCCTATGGTGCTCAGCTCAATGATGTATAGCTCAACTGCCTGGAAGGTGTTCAAGGGCAGTGACAGCTAGAGCTGGCACTCCTTTCAAATCTTGCACAGCCACCTGCTACTCAGTAGCCCTTGGGTAAGTGACAATGTTTTCTTTATGCTTCTGTTTCCTCCTTCTCTGTACCCTGGTAATTGGAGTGCCTGCCTTGCAGGGTTTTGTGAGGAGGAAGGAGATCATACATGTTACTTCCAGCCTGCTGGGCCACCGCAGGTCCACTATTATTGTTGTTAGAAAACTTGTGCTGTCAATGACGGAGAAGAACTACATGTGTCTGGTGGTGCCGGCCTGTAGAGTTACTTGGGAGACTGATGCAAGACAATAGAAAGTTCAGGGCCTCTCTGGGCTACAGATGAATTCAAGTCTGGTCTTGGCAAATTAGTAGGACTCCCTCTCAAAATAGCAAGTATGAAGAGGGGTAGGGTCTGGTGATCAGGTCCAGTGAGAAGGAGTGATTGACATGCAAGTCTGACATTGAGGATTTTGATCTCCAAGCCTTGCAAAACTTGGATGCAGTGGCACTTATCTGTAAATCTAGCACTTCCATGACAAGATGGGAGGCAGAGACAGGAGGATCTCCTGGAAGTTCATTGGCTAACATGGCACATTGATGAACACAAGGGACCATGCTTTAAAACAAGATAGTTTTGGTGGGGTTGCAAGTTAATACAGTCATTATGAAAATCAGTTTGGAGATTCCTCCCCAAAATTTAAAAATAGAATGATCCACTGTTTTACTTCTGGGCATATAACCAGAAAATTCCACATTCCACCTGAGAGGTGTTTGATCCCCACGGGTACTTTATTGTTGGTTATTCACTATAGCAAGGGAATGAAACCAACCCAGTTGTCTGAGCAGGTAAAGCTACAATGAAAGCTGGTACTGACATGAGATGGAATGCTATTCAGCTCTAAAGAAAAATAAAATTGCAAAACTTTCAAGAAAGTGGATTTAGAATGTATAATATTAAGCAAAGTCACACAGTCTCAGAAAGAAAGAAAAAACACTCACATGGGGATCCTAGTCTACTATATATGTGTATGTATGTATATGTATGTAGACAATGTATATATGATTACTGTATACTAGAAAGGTGAACAGTAAAGGCTAAATGTTAAGTAATGAAGGAATAAATGCAGGTAAAGGACACAAGTCATGAAGGAGGTAGTGAAATTAATTGCTTTTCTAGTTTTAACTCTGTCATTGATTTTTTTCCCTTTGTGTGTGTGGTAGATGAGTGCCACATGAATATGAAGATGTCAAATCCAATGTGGAGCTCTCCAGCTTCAGGATGGCCATTCTAACCATACAGAAGTTCATTGAGATGTATAGACTTTGGGTCTGGCTAATTTTGCTGTGTGTTTTTTATTTGAGAGTTCTTTCCAATAAAGTTTTAATTAACAATAAAAAAGCAAGGAAGGCGAGGACTGACACAAGATGTTATCTTCTGACCGTATATGCTGTGGCATGTACACACACACACACACACACACACACACACACACACACACACACACACAAACGAAACCGAAATCTATGTTTTCCAAGAACTGTGTGGTTCTGATTCTACCTTTGTGCCCCATGTGAGGTTAACTTTCTTTTGACCCAGCTGCCTTCAAATGTCTTGTTAACTCACAAGTGTCCATTTCACTAGGTGACCCCCTTGCTGGACCTGATCACCCAGTCTCTGCTTTCAAAGACCCCTCAAGCTCAGAGCCTCTCTCTCTCAGAAGGACTCCTCAGAGCCTTGGCATGCTGCTCCCTTGGCATGATGTCATAACTGCCCCACCCATTTTCCCTGAGAGGAATCTCAAGGAAGTAGAAATGGATCAAGGATGAAGGAAACTAGCAGAAAATTGATGGAGCTCCTCTTCCCCAAACGCCATAGCACTTGAGACTCATGGGTGTGGGATGCTCCTTAGCTATAGGTGACCCTCTCTCTCTCTCTCTCTCTCTCTCTCTCTCTCTCTCTCTCTCTCTCACACACACACACACACACACACCCAACACACACACCCACACCCACACACACACACACACACACTGGTGCCTTTGCATCTGCCACACTAGAAACCAGCAGATGATGGGTGAATCTTCTAAAAGTACTGAGCTAACTGATAGTCCCCCTGGTCACTGTATTTGACAGCTCCAAACCAGGCACCAGGATGGCTCCCTATTAATGTGACCAGTGTAGGCCCTTAAAGGGACTGAATGCTCTGTTGTCCATATCTTTGCATCCCTAATGCCTTAATCTTTGAAACTGTGTTGTGCGTGAGGTCTTATGGGACAGCACATGCTGGGGATTTGAAGTCTCCCTGGTTGAAGTGTGGTTCCACCAACCCCGACTGGTCATGCCTTCTCAGTAGAGCCCTGGGGCAGATATAGAGTGGAGATCAGGGACACCTTCCAGTGGTTTTTTTTTTTTTTTTTTGGTGTGTGTGTGTGTGTGTGTTAGGACAAACAGTGGTCATCCTGGACCCTGCCTGGCAGCATTTGGTACCTCTTACCTACCCTTAATCTAGATACCAACCAACTCATGGCATAGAGGCCACCACAGTCCTTGGGGTTTGCCCTGGCAATGGGTGAAGGTGGGCTAATGTTTTTTCCCACTAAAGGCAGACTCAGTTCCTTTGTCGTGTCAAATTCTACAGGCATGTCATCAGTCCTGCCAGGGATCTAGCTGAACACTCCCTCTGCATTCCCTTCTCCTTTGGTAGTCTCACTGAGTTCTCAGTTCTTCTTAGGAACGTCTCTTCTCAGGGACAAATGCAGCCCCACAGGAGCCCAGCTCAGTGCTGCCAGGACCACCTGTATGCATCCCCCAGCTTCTGCTTTCTTATCTCCCATGGCTGATTCTGCCAAAGTTGGCATCAAGGAAGACAGTGGGTTTTTTGTTTGTTTGTTTGTTTGTTTTTTATTACTCTCCAGCTAAAGTCCTTTCTACAATATTGCCTGTTGGTTCTAGGATAGCACATAAACTCTTTGGCATGTGGACATGTGAGTAGATGCACACACCTATGGCCTTATATATTGGCTCCACACTCTGGGTGGGTTCCCTCCACAACCCATTGATTGCCATGGTTTCATAGGTTCTTACCTCTCGCTTTCTAGAACTCATAATGACGCAACTGTGTTTTATCTATTTGTCCTCTCCCAGCCTAACACAACAATCCAGGCGTCAACTGGGTTCTGGATACAAGTTTGGTAAATTACACACCCATGATTCTTTACGTTTAGGACTCTAAGGAATCACCCTGGTGGGAATCATGCATGTGGAAGCTATTTTGAAGGGAGAGTGCTTGCCTCATACCAGGTCTAGTTGCCAGCCCTTTGGCCTACTTGGATGGTCCTTGCTCCTCTGCCAAGTTCATGTTTGCTCCCTCACTCTTATATTGCATCTCTGGGCTGTTCTATTGCAGTGAGTCCTTCTGGTGATGGGGTCATGGTGGAAAGGATGTGCTCTTCAGGATCAGACAAGTTCATGGGACTTTGGACTGTGAAGCCCACATACAGGCAGTGAGCATTTGGACAAGTCTTTGCGTAGTAGAAAGATGGTGATCATCATATTGGCACTATCCTTGCCTTATCGGAGCTTTTGGTCTCCAGTAATTTATTTAACTGACTGAGCATGGGCCTTCTCATTTACCTAAGGAGCCCAGGAGGACCATTCTACAGGGTTACTGTAGTGGAAATGCACACATGAGACATTTGATAAGGACTAAATGCTTCATAAGGTTTCCAAGTGGGCATTCGTTTCTAACCCAGGAGTATCAGAAGAAACTGGCCCTTCTGGGATGGGAGCACCTCTGCACATCTCTTTAAGGATGGGACTTGGTGCTTTGATATATCTCTGTCCCTGGCCTTGGTGGTAACCAGGAATGGGACAGAGGCTGGTGAACATGGAGAGCATCTGTGCTTCTGGTGTAGAAGCCTGCCTGCCTGGGGAATGTGTTATAAAGCATGAAGCTGCCCCTCCCCCACCCTGGGGAAAACATCCTCCTTATGTCCTAAAGGTATCTTTTCTCTCCTGGATGCAGGCTTCTTCGTCCTGGCTCAGAGATGCCTAAGACCTTCTGCTCCATGCATGGTGTGGCAAAACACAAGCTTTGGAAGAGGCCAAACAGGTTTGGAATGATGGCCTACAGGGCTATAGTTGTGCAGGGTTCCCTGCAACTCAGTTTTCTCATGCGAAAAGTGGGGCTAACAGTACTGTCTCGCTTACCTTGTTGAGGGGATGGAGAGAGTGGCACACGGGTGGCATGTGAGTTTCTGGGTCCTCTGTAGGCCTCACTAAAGAGTACCGTGGCCTTAATGGATTCTCTCTCCTCAGGAGTCCTCACACTTTAAAAGATGGTGCTGGGTGGTTTAACACGGTGCAATAGGTTGACTGGGGTGACACTTCAGGGGAAAGCAGTGGGGTGGAGACAGGAGATATTTTGGGGGCAGGAAGTGGCCCTCCTTCACTTCTGAAATCACACCACTTAGACTAGCAGTTCTCAGCCTCAAAGCTGTGACATGCTGGTGTGGGACCAGCAGTTGTGAGATGCATCACAGACAAATACGTTACTAATAATAAAGTGTTGCAGTTTTCGAATAATTTCCCCCTATTTTTTCTTTTGTGTAAATTAGAGGGAATTCAAGGTTATCTCTCTCGTGTCGTCAGACCTAATCTCATGCCCATGCGAAGAGGAAGGACCTGGGCATTGGGCCTGGCTTTTCAGAGATGCATATACTTGGTCATTGGGTCATGGATGCTCTGGATGTCATGGGCTCAAATCCCTGCCTGGGAGACAGAGAAGCCCAGTGATGAAAGTCTTTGAGAAATAGAGACAAGGGAACAAACACCTGCTTTCTGCATCTCCACAGGTGACACAAACCAGCACCTGCCACATGATGCCAATCAATGATGCTTAAATATATGCCCTGTTGGTGGTGACAGCATAGTCAAAGAAATGTCCCCAAAGTGGAGGAAGTGAATGAAGGAGAAGCAAAGTGGTGGGCCTCTTGGGGTGCCGAAGAGAGTCTATAGTTTGGGTATGGTGTCAGACGCACAGCAGAACCACCACCAGGGTGTTTAGTTAAGGTCTGCATCCTCAGGCTGCATGCCTCCCATCCTAGTACTCAGGAGACAGGAGAAGGCAGATCTCCGAGTCTGAGGTCAGCCTGGTCTGCACAGTGAGTTGTAGGTCAGCCAGGACTACATTTCCCCCTCTCCGCCCCCTGAAAAGATCTATGTCCTTGTCCTATATGTTTGCACATTCACAGGAAAATGCTAGTACACCTCCAAGGAGTCCTAGATACACAACTACAAGGGGCTTTCTCAGAGCACCTGCTGGGGGTTCCCTAAATGTATTGGGAAGGGACAGTGGGATAATCACATTAACTTGGGGGCTTTGGGAGCCTTGGGGTCTCCTGCAGGTCCAGGTTCTGCCCATGAGCTCTGTTTACACGGCATCTTCTTGTTCCATTTAGTGGCTTGGTGTCTGCTCTCAGCTACCTACCCCCGGGGAGATGACTGACTCTGCTTGCCTCATTAACACCAGTGCTTATACAGACAGGATCTTCATCAGAGATCTAATTTCTGGTGACAGCTCTGCAGTACAGTAAGAGCATGCGTGAGGCCCACAGCATGTTCGGAAGTGTTCTGTGCCTGGGGTTTCACCGTGCAATCTTGGTAAAAGGGGCTGGACAGACAACCCCCTTTAAATGTGAGGCTCCGGGAGGCTGAGGTGACTGTTCTTAGGCCACCCATTTGGAGTTCATTTTATTTGCTTTGTGTGTTACTTTTCAACCCACCCCCTCAGTTGCCAAGGAAACAGTGATGCATCGTAGGGTGGGGCCTGAGCTGGTCAATAGAGTCTTCTGAGGCCACATCCAGGGAGGTGGGCCTGGGGCATGTGTTAGTACTAAGGAAGAATTGGAACAGAGTGGGGATGGGGTGGGAGTGGTGGGCTGCTTGGCCCCCTGCAGGCCCCAGTCATACATTCTCCAGAGACCTGCCCTTCACCATGCTACCAGCAAACAGATACAAGGCAAATATAGGGCAGTGGCAACAGTCCATCCTGCCTTGGTATTTGTGGGACTTTACCAGGTCCAAAGCCTCTGAAGACTACAAATCAGTCAGGAGCCAGGGAAAAATGGATTTCTTGTAGTAGATAACTTGGTGAGGTGGCATGGGCTAGTGCTACACTCAGCCAGTTCCTTCTCTGTGAAGTGTCCTCTGTGTTCTCCAGGGAGGCACTTCCTGGCTTCCCATCCTAATCTCATCATCTGCGTCTATACCAGGATCTTTAGGACCTCCTGCCAGTATGTTTTGGCTCACTACTGTAGGCCTCTTTGTGTACCATTCTCAAACCCCCATCTCCTAGGCCCATCCTTACTTCTTCGGTCTAACCACTCCAGCTGGGAAAATAGTCTGCTCCTTGGGGTTTTTTATCCTGGGGTGTGTATTGGGCAAATCGTTATGCTCGGGTCTCTCTCACAGTCCTGGATGTATAAGGATATTCCGAGTTCCATCCTTGGCCCCAGGCTGTTCCTCCATCTGGTGAGTTGACTAAGAGCCTGCATAGGGTACCCAGAACCTCTTTTTCAAGATCCTCTCTTTGGGGCTGTGTGGGTACCCTCTGTGGTCTTGCCAACAGCTAGAAAAATCATACCTTGACATTATGCCAATCTTCTCCCTACTACAGAGCTCCCTATATCCATTCCCTCATGCTGTCATTTCCCCCTATCACCCAGTCTCAAAACCCAGGAGTTATTTTTGATTCATCTATCTCCTTTATCACCCATATCTAGTCGCTTATCAAATTCTGTCAGTTCTTCCTTCAAAATGTCTCTAGCATATGTCCCTTCCTTCCTTAAAAATAAATTTCATTGTTTTTTCCTTTGTATAACAGAGAAATATGTTCAGTGTGAAATATTTCAAAAGTACAGTACCCGTGACCAAAGAAGACAATTAATTAATTAATTAATGAGAAAAAATAATCACCCACTAGTCCCATTGTGTGGCTACTTGCCAAGTCTCTGACCCTGATAATGTGTCTGTACCCTTCACCTTTCCCTTTCCTCCCATTGTTCCCCATCCCGGCCAGCATGCTTCCTTCAAGGTCTCAAACTCTTGTCACTTGCCCCTCCCACCCTCTTACGCTCTGGCCAGTCTAAGCGCCTCAAACACTTTCTTCAAAACTTCCTATCTCCAGCCTGTTGAATTCAGGGAAGTTGAGAGTCCATAGGAAGCAGGTGCCCCACCCGGGGGTTGGGAGGGAGAAGCTCACAGTTTGGCTAGCCTATGGCCAGTTCGTCTGTGGGCATTAGAAAGAGGCTTGCCTTATTCAGGGTGGAAGTTCATGGTATGTGTGAATGTATCCCCCAAAGTCCATCCAGTGAAGACTTTACCCCCTGATACTATTTGGAAGTGATTGGGCTAAGATGAGGCCATGGCCAGATGGCACTAATGGTAAGAAGGTGAAGAGAGACTCGGGTATGCATGCTTGCTCGGCTTCCCCACCGTGAGCTGCTCACATGCAGGCCAGATACCAGGGCCACACTCTCAGACTCCTCAGCTTTCAGCCTCCAGAACCACCACTGTGCAAATCTAATCCCCCTCCCCCGCCACGTTTTTGTATGTGTGTATGTATGTTCATATGCAAGTGACTTCATGTGTGTGCTGTTCACATGCACATGTGTGCAGAGGGCCAGAGGACACTTTTGGTGGTTGTTCCTCATGAATGCCATTTGCTTTTTGAGTTGGAGTTTCTCACTGGACCTGGGATTCACCAATGAGGCTAAGGCATATTGGCCACCAAGTCCCAAGCATCCTCTGGTCTCTACTTCCCCAGTGGTGGGGTTACAAGTGTGCACTAGGGAACATGGCTTTTTTAAAATGTGGATTCTGGGGATTGATCTCAGGTCCTTATGCTTGTGTAGCATGAACTTTTACTAATTGAGCCATCTGACCACCCCCCAAAACCTGTTCTTTGTAGATTAACCTTTCTTAGGTATTTTGATACCAAGACACCAAGAATGGGCAAATAAGTGACTTGGTAGGTAGAGAACAAGCTTCCTCCTGGGGAGCAGTGAACAATTCTAGGAGGTGGCTCTGGTCAAATACCCTCTGTCACATGGTTGGCAAGGCCTAAGCTTCTGGCTTCCCAGCACTTACCATCCTTGCTTGAGCTGGGCTACACCCTGCTTCTCAAAAATGTGTGTTCTACCTCTTCCTAGGCTTCTGCTGAAGTTCTACCATTCTCCAGCATCCTCCGTCTCCCTCCTCTTCTTATGTACCCACTTCTGTGGCTCAGGGTCAACCCTCAAATGTGTACAGAGTTCAGACAGTTTCCCTGAATTCATTAGTGGGTAGGATGGGGATCTGTGATGAGGACCTGGGTCTACCAGATATCCCTCTCTACTATTAAAACAACTTCCCAACTTTTCAGTGTTGCTTGTTAAAGATGTTTCTAATTTATAACTGAGTTATAACCAGACAAGCTCATCACAAGTGTTATCTAGCATTAGCTTTAGATACATTTTATCTCCCTAATTTACAGTGCACATCACCCACTAAAGTGTTCATTGTCTCCCCTTGAGTTTATTAGATTAACTGGGAACCGAGGCTCTGCCCAGCACTATAAATTTCATAGTGTGTATATTGCTAGCCTAGGAGGAGATCAAAATTCCAAATTCCAAGTTTGGCTGGGGGTGGTGGTAGTGGTGGTGGTGGCCAAAGCTGTAATCCCAGCATTTGAGAAGCTGAGGTAGGAAGATCTCCAAGACTTTAAGGCCAGTCTTGTCTACAAAGTGGGCTCCAGGCCAGCCTGGGCTACATAGCAAGACTCCATCTCAGAACAAAACAAAGCAAAACACCCCCTGTCAACTCATGCACGGTTTCTACTGAATGCACGATCATGTTCACATTGGCCTAATGTGAAAAATTACACGTTAAACCATCATCAGCTTGGGACTTATCTAATACTTTTAAAGGCCTAGCCCAGGTACAGCAAGGATGTCAGCTGTCCTACTCTCCATCAACCTATTTCTCCTTTGAAGCATTCTGGCCCTGTGCCCCACCTCTCTGTGGTCAACTCTGCTGCTCACACAGAAGGACTGTGCCCATCTTGGCAGTTCTGGCTGCTTGATGCAGTGGCAAACACTTGTTAATTCATCCACTCAAAGAGACACATGGAGTATCCTTTGCAGATTTCACAGCACTTGGCTTTGGCTTCTGATTCCAGAGTGTTCTGGAGCAAGTCACTTACCCTTTCCAACCCTCACTATCTGACCTGTGAAATGGGGATTAAGGCAACTCTCAGCCCACTCATTTGTGAGAAGGCACTAGAATCATATATGTGAAAGCGTTTTGCAAACTGTGGAGCTCTGGGAAGTGCCATCAGCATCCCATCTTCCTTTGTTTGTGGTGTTGTAGTTTCATGTTTCTGAGAGGTAGTGGCTGGCTCCCGATGGTCCTGAGGGTGCACCGGGATTTTGATAAAATATATGTGGGTTAGTTGGTAGAATGCATTTATATCTACCTCCTTCAATGGAGGATTTACATTGACTCCAACAGGACCAAGCACAGTGAAATAATAACATAATGACTTTGACAGTGACAAGTAACCTTGACAGAGCTCCTACTGCATGCTTGACACCTTGCTAAGAGCTTTTTGATGGCTCCCTCATATAATCTTCACAGTAAGTCCTCAAGAAAGGTACGGCTGTTGACCTTACTGTATAGACGAGGAATTAAGCTGTGTAGCCAGTGGCAGGTCTGCATAGGCAGCAGAAAAGTCGAGAACATGATGAGCCAGAAGCCATAGGCCATCAGAGTCTCAGGCAAACCCAAGCATGCAGGAACAAGTATGCATTGCCATTTGGTACCAGGCCTAGGAGAACATGGCTTTGATTTAGATCAATCCTTAGAAGACTCCTGTGAGGAAAGTATTTGTCTTAGTATCTTTTCCTGTTGCAGTGATCAAATGTCCTGGCAAAGGCAATATAAGAGAGAAAGGGTTTTTTTGGGCTCATAATTCAAGGCACAGTCCATCATAGTGGGGAAGTCAAGGCAGAAGTCGGTCACATCACAGCCACAGTCAGGAAACAGAAAAGGATGAATACATGCTCGAGGCTGCTCAGCACCCTCTCTCTACTTATATACAATCCAGGATCCAGCCAGGGAATGGCACTGCCCATAGTGGACAGGTCTTCCCACCACAATGAACTCAGTCATGATAACCTTTCACAGGTTTGCCCAAGGGCCCCTTTCCCAAGTGTCTCTACATTGGCAAATTGACAGTCAACCCTATCAGAGTCCTCATGTTCATTTTACACGGGAGGGAAGCAGCAACCCCAGAGATCCAATGCCTCTGCCAGGCGACACAGTTAGGGAATGAGAGGCTGGCTTGGGGCTCGGACCCTGCCGTCCATTTGACCCTATCTATGGTCAGCAGTAGGGCTCCCAAGACTTCTTCCAGACAAACAGGAAAAGGATGCTTCCCATAACAGTGCCGGCCATTCTCCATGGGCCTGTTAGTGGGAAGGTCCCTGAGAAGGTCTTCGGTGCCTCTGCCACCTGCACCCACCTGGCTCAGGGATACCTCACTGGAGTGTGACGCCCAGGGTGGGTACTCACAGGCCCTCCCTGTAAACTTCAAGACAACAAAGACTTACAGTACCTATCTTGGCCTTCCCTGCCCCCTACCCATTTTCTCCCCAAAGAAAAATGAAAGAATCTGATAATTACTTCTATCTACCACCCAACTGTACTAATTACCAACCTATTTCTTCACAGTGTGACAGACACCAGCTCTGGAAAACACATAGAGATAAATTAGCACTAATTGGTTTTCCTCTGGCTGTTTGAATTAGTATTTAAAGCTCCAATTACAAAGCAGAATAATTGCTATTAATGTCCTATCGCAGTACAAAAGGCAGTTCTCTCGAGAACCAGCCCAGGTGTATGATTACTCTGATTACAGCATATTTAACCTGGCTCGTTAAGAGGGAGAGGAGCAGACAGTTTCAATATGGCCGACAGGCCACTTCCTGCAGGGCTATGGCTGGAGGGAAGAAAAGGCAAGCAGAGAAGGTGGGAGTGGAGTAGAGGGTGGCGGGGTGCAGGAGCGCGAGCCTACCTGCTCCTTAGCAAAGACCTGCTTGCAGAGACTCTTCGAAGATGTCTGAGAGGATGGCACAGGGGGTGGTGCTTGGTAGTGGTGGTGGTGGTGGTGGTGGTGGTGGTGGTGGTGGTGGTGGT